CAACGCACCTACCTTTCGTATTAGTTTGTCTCAACCAAAACCCGCGCAACACGAGCTTTAATATTTACAGATAAAGATAACAACAATTAAAGCTGTACAGCTGTGTATTTCACTTCAGTGTAGCGCCTTGCACCCAAGCGTAATGGTTTGCGAAACGTACGGCTAGGTTTTTCGTCATTTTGCCAGTGGAACGTTCTATCGCAAAAGGGGTGCCCTAATTCCGACCTAGCGACCTAGTGTTTAACGAAGGTCAATCTCATGAGAGACTTTAGTATTTAAAATACACAAATTATGACTAAAACAATCTACAACTATTTTTCTGTCCCAAACAAGTAATCTTTTCACCATTACGCGACTTGCTCCAAAGTGGCTGTTTCAAAATCAAAGCTGCGTTTTTTAACACGCTCGTCAACCCCCGAACAAGCGTCGAATTCAAACAGATTTTTCACTCGTCTGTTATCGGAGCGTGCAAACTGGACCAAACTTTGTGAGATTACCGATATCAACAGAAAAACTTTGTCAATTCTTGTGGTTATTTTTAGGCACATGCTCCCATGCATAGCGCGGCGACAATGATTTTTCAAACTAGTACGGAATTAGGGGTAGGTCGGAATTAGGGCACCCCCCGTTAAATGTAGGGAAATACATTATAATATCATGGGCACGGCACCATCTTTGAGGCCCCCCCTCCCTGATATTTGGAATCCCTGATTGGTCAAATTTAAATGTTTCTCAGAGTATTATGGGCTGACGGCGGCCCACAGCAGGATGGATGGATTTCGTTCGTGGATAGTCTCAGAATTTTCCAGTTGCCCCGAAATTGTCCCGAAATGTAATTTGAATTGTCCCGAGCTGAAAATTTAGTGTCATTTGACACTGGGACAATGTTAATTTCAAGCCCTGCCATGTACATGTACTACTGCCTGATGCCCAAGTGGACTTTTGAAAACATGTCCTTGAGTCCTTGAATAAAACCTTAGTTTTCCTGTGACTAGTTTTTGGGAAGTTTTGTGAGTAATAAGAAGCCTGACTCACCGTGTGCAGACGTGCCACCATGTCATCCTTGTCCAGACAAGCGTTGGTGTCAAACCAGGCATCAAAGTCCTGCAATCAAGTTAATAATACAATTAATAATGATAATGAATAATTTTTAATGTCCAAACAGTACCGGTGCGGTCGCAGCCTTTATACGGCTGAATTGATGCAGGGTATCACATAATAATCAATACAAATCACAACAATCATATAATACAGGACACACACATATTTGCTCCACAAATTTTTTGTGGAACTGTCGCAAGGGTCTGTGCGGCTGCCATTCGGCGCCACAAGGTGACCTCAATACGACTTTCCCCAGGTAAGGTCTAGGCATCCTCTTATAGCCCAAATGCTACGATAGGAGTCAGGAAATCAACAAAAAAGGCTGGGTTGATAATTAAACAATGAATTTTGAACTTTTAATCAAACCGTTTCATTGATAGATGGAAAAACTGTAACAAATAGGATGAAAAGGACTTTCCTCAACTGTTGGGGGAAAAATATAAAAGCATATTTGAGTTGATTCAGAACCAGAATCTTTTTTTTTTGCAAATCAGGGAAAAGAAAAAAACGAAGAGGCGAATCCGAGAACCAACAAATTAAATTGGTGTTTAAAGAACAAATGACACCAAAAAAAGTCTGTAAAATACATAAATTATACAAAAGTATACACATAATATAGTTACTTAAGTTTGTTCCAATCATGATGACTGAGAAATTGAGCTTGTACGGCCTTCTAAAAGTGAATTTTTGGAGAACCTCTGGCAAGCTTCCCAATCGCCCTCCTTGGGCATCTCTATTTGCATCTCTATGTTTTATTTCAGCATTTCTGGGCTTTTTCTTGAGCTGACATCACTGGGTGACGTCAGCTCAGGAAAAAATACAGACATGCAAAAATAAAATGTAGAGATGCAAATCGCCTGCCAGGACTGGATTCTGCTGACTTTTCCAAGGCAGGGCGTTAGAATTTCAAATGTAACCTGAGAACTGTGCATATTTATTGTAAATGTGTCTCTTAGCCAGCCAACTACAATCAGATAGGCAACACCAATTTAATTTCTTGGTTAACGGATTCGCCCGCTTCATTTTTTTCTGATTTGCAAATAAAAATAAAAATTCAGAATCAACTGCAAAATGCTCATATTTTGCCCTGAACAGTTGAAAACAGTCCTTTTCCTCCTAGTTGTTACAGTTATTCCATCTTTCAATGCAGTGGTATCATTAAAAGTTCAAAATTCATTGTTTANAGCACAGGTTACAAACACACAGCACCAACTCATGTACAGCACAGGTTACAAACACACAGCAACCAACTCACATACAGCACAGGTTACAAACACAAGCACCAACTCACATACAGCACAGGTTACAACACACAGCACCAACTCATGTAACAGACACAGGTTACAAACACAGCACGAAAATCAGGTTACAAACACAGTGCCAAACCAAGTGCCAACAATACAACCATGGCAATGTTCTTGCTCATACAACAATGCCAAAGGCTTAGTAGAAAGCAAAGCAGCGATGCCATGAAAGCCATGAGATGACACAAGATGCCTGAAGTGTAAATGTTAGTCTGACATGTACCATGAAGACCGATACTCATGTGTGCAGATACATGTACATTCAAACAAACCCCAGTTCCCATAGTGTGCTACAAATTCCTCCAAAGGAAATGAAAGCCAATAAGCGTTGACATTCATTGAAAACTTTCCTGTAATCATTTTTCAAACAAGTGGAATGTTTTGGAGGAAAGTAGCGGTACTGTTACTGAGCTTCTGTTCCTAATATTAATAAAGGGCTCGAAATACTAGGTGCATGTGCACCTTAGTGCACCTAAATTTGGAGCTGTGCACCCAATTTTTTTCTGTGGGTGCAATGGTGCACCCAAATATTTTTGTAGGTATTTTTGTACAAATGAAATGTATAATAATAGTATACAGGATAGTCTTGGCAACGATGTGTCAGAAAAATAGTAAATTCTTGTGTTTAGGATTTTGAAGTTAGCTCCCATTTCAGATTCAAGCTCAGAAGAGGAGCAGTCAAGATCTGTAATTAGTTTTTTTTTAATATGGTGCTACCAGAAAATTTTTGTGCACCTAATTTTTTAGGTTGGGTGCACCAGTGCACCTATTCCCAAAAATGAATTTCGAGCCTTGCTGGTTGTGGGTTGCACACATTGCTGCTCAAAAAACATTGCCACAATCGGTCTCATGATTAGAGCTTGGTACAATCTTAGCTTGAAGCCGCAGCAGAAATGCAAGCGAGTTGGTAAGGACTAGAGACACCAGCAGTAGGGAAACTTGCTTCTGTAATACATTAGAAGCTGATACAGTGTAATTGTGGAGACAAGCATAGGTAAAAAAAACACAGGAACCAGTATTAGAACAGTGCAATCAAAATAGTTAAGGAACAGCTGAGAATATAACATCCTAGTCCTTTCTTTACCATAATCATGCATGACTGTAATTATGCAATTCAAACTAGTCACAACGCACAAGTTAGTACTACAGTACAGTACAGTACTACATGTACATGTACATCCATTTTCTACTTGCCTACTAGCCTGGGAAAAGTTTAAGTACTGATTGGGCAAATGCATTTTTTTAATCCCCCCCATGTATAGCAGTGTTTTTTACCCCTTAAAAATATCATTGATGTTGGTCAAAATCAAATTTATTTGTCAGGAAATACCTTGGAAAATAAACTGGCAAATAACTTTGTTCCTTTTGACGCAAACAATTATTATAACAGCAAATGTTGTCTAGCATGAAATTGCCTAAAAGATTTAACATGTTTTTTTTTTACTAAAAGAAAAATCCATTGCTGCAAGTAATTAGAATACACAGAAATATGTCCTGTATATTTTGGGCAAGTTAAAATTTGGTTTGGGCAAGTCGAAATCACCATGTCAGGCCTCGAAATTAACTTTTTTTACTATCGTCCCAGAATTGTCCCGAACATAGATTTCAATTGTCCCGAACTGAAGATGGACTGTCCCAGCCTGCTTTTCAGGAAAAAATTTATGACAACAATAAGAATACAACAACAACTGAATTTGTACAACTTGAAGTCCACTTTATTAGTAACGGGAGGGGTCCTAATTCCGACCTATGTTCCATGCAAACGCACCTACCTTTCGTATTAGTTTGTCTCACCAAAAACCCGCGCAACACGAGCTTTAATATTTACAGATAAAGATAACAACAATTAAAGCTGTACAGCTGTGTATTTCACTTCAGTGTAGCGCCTTGCACCCAAGCGTAATGGTTTGCGAAACGTACGGCAGGTTTTTCGTCATTTTGCCAGTGGAACGTTCTATCGCAAAAGGGGTGCCCTAATTCCGACCTAGTGTTTAACGAAGGTCAATCTCATGAGAGACTTTAGTATTTAAAATACACAAATTATGACTAAAACAATCTACAACTATTTTTCTGTCCCAAACAAGTAATCTTTTCACCATTACGCGACTTGCTCCAAAGTGGCTGTTTCAAAATCAAAGCTGCGTTTTTTAACACGCTCGTCAACCCCCGAACAAGCGTCGAATTCAAACAGATTTTTCACTCGTCTGTTATCGGAGCGTGCAAACTGGACCAAACTTTGTGAGATTACCGATATCAACAGAAAAACTTTGTCCATTCTTGTGGTTATTTTCAGGCACATGCTCCCATGCATAGCGCGGCGACAATGATTTTCAAACTAGTACGGAATTAGGGGTAGGTCGGAATTAGGGCACCCCCCGTTAAATGTAGGGAAATACATTATAATATCATGGGCACGGCACCATCTTTGAGGCCCCCCCTCCCTGATATTTGGAATCCCTGATTGGTCAAATTTAAATGTTTCTCAGAGTATTATGGGCTGACGGCGGCCCACAGCAGGATGGATGGATTTCGTTCGTGGATAGTCTCAGAATTTTCCAGTTGCCCCGAAATTGTCCCGAAATGTAATTTGAATTGTCCCGAGCTGAAAATTTAGTGTCATTTGACACTGGGACAATGTTAATTTCGAGCCCTGACATGTACATGTACTACTGCCTGATGCCCAAGTGGACTTTTGAAAACATGTCCTTGAGTCCTTGAATAAAACCTTAGTTTTCCTGTGACTAGTTTTTGGGAAGTTTTGTGAGTAATAAGAAGCCTGACTCACCGTGTGCAGACGTGCCACCATGTCATCCTTGTCCAGACAAGCGTTGGTGTCAAACCAGGCATCAAAGTCCTGCAATCAAGTTAATAATACAATTAATAATGATAATGAATAATTTTTAATGTCCAAACAGTACCGGTGCGGTCGCAGCCTTTATACGGCTGAATTGATGCAGGGTATCACATAATAATCAATACAAATCACAACAATCATATAATACAGGACACACACATATTTGCTCCACAAATTTTTTGTGGAACTGTCGCAAGGGTCTGTGCGGCTGCCATTCGGCGCCACAAGGTGACCTCAATACGACTTTCCCCAGGTAAGGTCTAGGCATCCTCTTATAGCCCAAATGCTACGATAGGAGTCAGGAAATCAACAAAAAAGGCTGGGTTGATAATTAAACAATGAATTTTGAACTTTTAATCAAACCGTTTCATTGATAGATGGAAAAACTGTAACAAATAGGATGAAAAGGACTTTCCTCAACTGTTGGGGGAAAAATATAAAAGCATATTTGAGTTGATTCAGAACCAGAATCTTTTTTTTTTGCAAATCAGGGAAAAGAAAAAAACGAAGAGGCGAATCCGAGAACCAACAAATTAAATTGGTGTTTAAAGAACAAATGACACCAAAAAAGTCTGTAAAATACATAAATTATACAAAAGTATACACATAATATAGTTACTTAAGTTTGTTCCAATCATGATGACTGAGAAATTGAGCTTGTACGGCCTTCTAAAAGTGAATTTTTGGAGAACCTCTGGCAAGCTTCCCAATCGCCCTCCTTGGGCATCTCTATTTGCATCTCTATGTTTTATTTCAGCATTTCTGGGCTTTTTCTTGAGCTGACATCACTGGGTGACGTCAGCTCAGGAAAAAATACAGACATGCAAAAATAAAATGTAGAGATGCAAATCGCCTGCCAGGACTGGATTCTGCTGACTTTTCCAAGGCAGGGCGTTAGAATTTCAAATGTAACCTGAGAACTGTGCATATTTATTGTAAATGTGTCTCTTAGCCAGCCAACTACAATCAGATAGGCAACACCAATTTAATTTCTTGGTTAACGGATTCGCCCGCTTCATTTTTTTCTGATTTGCAAATAAAAATAAAAATTCAGAATCAACTGCAAAATGCTCATATTTTGCCCTGAACAGTTGAAAACAGTCCTTTTCCTCCTAGTTGTTACAGTTATTCCATCTTTCAATGCAGTGGTATCATTAAAAGTTCAAAATTCATTGTTTAGATTTTGAACCAGCCTGGTGTGTTGACTTCATGGCTCCTATCGTACCATTTTGGGCCATAATAGGATGCCTAGGCCTGTTTTTATTTATTTTTTTTCCGCTCGCCCGCTCCATTATTTTTCTAGAAAAGTCCGTTAACCAAGAAATTAAATTGATGTGGCCTAAGGTCATATTTTGGTGTCATGAGCGCTCTAACAGTGCGATGCCTGACCTCGGAGGAGTTGAAGACATCGGGGAGGAGGAAGTTGAGAAGTGACCACAGCTCGTGCAGGTTGTTCTGCAGGGGCGTGCCGGTCAGCAGCAGCCGATTGGTCGTCTTGAACGTTCGGACAATCTCCGACAGCTGGAAATAGTCACAAAAATTACTGAATGGAACTGAATAATATAGTAGTACCAGGCTGTCAATATGGATGTGTACCTATACACATACATGTAAAAATTCTAAAATTAAGTAACTACAAGTCTATCTGGACCTGATTTTTACACTAAGGCACACCGACTTAATTTTATAGATGACATCCTCTGAAGACCCCCAAACTAGTGCGCGCGGGCGAATAAAAAAAATCTGGCCAAAAATAAAAATGCTACTAAACCACAGGAATACAAAACTGGTATTGTGAATTTGCGGAGGTACATAGCGACATATACGACAAGCCGGTACATGCCGGCTTTTGGTGGAATTTATGAATCAGCAATGTACGTATGTACTGAGTTCTTGAGTCGTGGAGCTTCGGTAGCCTGGGTGCCCAGCTCTGTATTGTCGCTAACTACCATGGACTACCCAGGCCTAGAGCCAGACCAGAGCCTCGGAGGACGTGATCTTTTTTTTTTAAAAGGCGAAAATCAATCCATAAAATTAAGTCGGTGTGGCCTAAAGATACATAAATTGCCTGTCAAAGATGATAATTTTGACAATTTGTACTTGAAAATCAGGAAAACTTATGTTACCTTCTTGGTTTTATATTTAAACATGTAAACCCTCATACAACAATTTACTAATACAAAAGAGTTAAATGTAGAACGTATAATTGGCCAAACTTGTTTAGGTACAAGTACAGGTCCAAGTCTCTCTCCAAACCTGTGTACCTGTACCTTTAACTACAACTTCTTTAGGTACACAGCTCTTTTGAAATGAAGTTCTAAACAATAGAGTGATGAAGTCTTGAAATTATATCTTCAAGTTATAATCAACGTATAATTAGATGCGTAGATTTACATGCATATGTGCTTAATAATAAAGAGAAAAAGTCCAAATAAAGTTTTTACAATAAACACATTGTAGAAAACTAGAAAGGCCAACATTTGCTTCGCGGAGCAAATATAGAATATTTCACTCCATCCCCCTCCCCAAACAAAAATAGGATTCTAAATAAATCATATTGCAATTATACAAGTACAAGCAATTATCAAGGGCAAGGAGAAGGAGAAGAAACATGAGGAAAAACAATATTTCACTTCATACTATAGTATTGAGTGAAATAAAAATGTATGTTTCTGTTACCTTGGATTTTTCGTTCTTGATCCTGTGTGCTTCGTCGATGACCAGGTAGCGCCAGTTGAACTTTTTGAAGACGGCCTTTTCGCGGAGAGCCATCTCGTAGGACGTGATACAGACGTCCCACTCCCCCGGCATGATCTGGTCGCGAATAATGGCGGACTGGAAGGGGAGACAACATTGCAAGTCAGTTTTTTTAATGTATGTAAGGCTACACCAATTTAATTTGTTGGTTCTTGGATTCGCCTCTTCATTTGTAAAAAAAAAAAAAGATTCTGGTTCTGAATCAACTGAAAAATGGTCATATTTTGCCCTGAACAGTTGAGGAAAGTCCTTTTCCTCCTAGTTGTCACAGTTTTTCCATCTATCAATGCAGTGGTTTGATTTAAGTTCAAAATACATTGTTTAAAAATTAACCCAGCCTTTTCTGTTGACTTCATGGTTCCTATCATACCATTTGGGGTTAGAATAGGATGCCTAGACCTGTTTTTTTCACCCCGTCGCTTCATATTTTCCTGAAAAAATCAGAGAACCAACAAATCAAATTGGTGTGGCCTAAATTTTAATTTCTAAAGGCTCCTAAATGCTTTACAAGATTTTGCTTAGTATAACAGCATTACCTAGCAATATGCAGGTCTGGAGCACTACATGTACAAGATATCTCAAACAAGGTGTGAAGTACATCATAGCAAAATCGTTAATTTGGATAAAGAGGTATCTTAACACGTTTTGCTTTGTACAAGAGCACCACCTAGCAGGAGAACTACAAGATATTTCCATTTCATGAAAGTCTGAAGTGAAGTACAAAAAGTATTGAAGTAAAGTGTGTCTCAGCAGAATGTTGATTTACAGAGGAATCTGCCTTTTCTACACATGGCCTCAGTCCTGGCTCACTAGAAGTGACCTAGCGCTGTGTACCGGTTCGCTGGACCAGTTCCGGACTTGTAAAAATGATTAGATTCAAGTAAAAAAAACCCTAAAAGTCAAGAACTAAGTCCGGACTTGTTAAAAAAAATGTCATACCCCTTTTTTTCCAAACCACATAAAATTGCCCATAGAATAGATTGCAAAATCTGTGCTGCAAAATGCTGAAAACATTGCCATCGGGCATCATCAAGTATCGGCCTCCATGTTATGTGGCCAAAGTTTTGCCCAAACAACATTGCAAGGTTGCCAACATGCAATTTTGTATATGCCATGGGTTTAGGTCCAGACTTACAAGTCCAGAACTGAACCTAAACCTCTGGACTTGAATCCGGACCTGGACCTAAATGTGGGTTTAGGTACACAGCACTAAAGTGACCTATTCATGACTCAACTGACCCTTTTCTCCTGGTCACCGATGAGGCTGACCGTACGGATGGATGGACACCAGTGTTCAAACTCGTTCATCCAGTTGGCCAGGGTGGACTTGGGCACGATGACCAGATGGGGCCCTGGGATGCTCCTGTAGTGCTTCATGTAGCCCAGCAGAGAAATGGTCTGGAGAGTCTTGCCTAGACCCTACAAGTAGAAACAAAAGCGGGTTATCACTTTGCTCACTCGGTGGTTTAGTCAATGGTTACAGGAACAGCCTACGGCTTATGACACCGTCACTTACCCTGTACCAAGCTTTTTGTTAAGTTATTCATGAGACCAAGCCTGCATTGTTTGAGTCTGCAAAAATGCCAGCTGTACAGATATTTTGTATGATCAAGAAAATCTGAAAGTAAAAAACTTCTGGTGGTTGTGATTGATACTGTACTGACCATTTCATCTGCCAGGATTCCGTTGATTCCGTTTTCATACAAGTTGATCATCCAGTTGAGCCCCCGGACCTGGTAGTCTCGCATTTCTCCATTCTTCACATCTGAAACAGCGTGGAACACATCAGTGTGGAACACATCAGCATGGGAACACATCAGTGTGGAACACATCAGCATGGGAACACATCAGTGTGGAACACATCAGCATGGGAACACATCAGTGTGGAACACATCAGCATGGTAGACATCAGCATGGGAACACATCAGTGTGGAACAGATCAGTGTGGAACACATCAGCATGGTAGACATCAGCATGGGAACACATCAGTATGGAACACATCAGTGTGGAACACATCAGCATGGGAACACATCAGTGTGGGACACATCAGTGTGGAACACATCAATGTGGAACACATCAGCATGGGAACACATCAGTTTGAAACACATCAGCATGGGAACACATCAGTGTGGAACACATCAGTGTGGAACACATCAATGTGGAACACATCAGCATGGGAACACATCAGCATGGGAACACATTGGCATGGAACATGTCATCATGGCACACACAGCAGTATAGAATACATAAGCATAGGACATGTCAGTGTGGACATTGCCATTTGTAAGCCTGGTTACTTACATGAGGGTGAGTCCTCAAACCGTGTGACGACAGTTGTCGCCTTCCTGCTTTCTGAAAGCAACTCTTCGTCCTCTTCTTGTTCTGTACGCCTGTGTCGGTGACTGTGGACACAAACAACAACATACCAGGTAAATACTCAACTGTATCTGTACTACATCTACATGTATCATCATCTAAATCTACGCACCAGATCATCCAATGCCTTGAAAATAACAAACTAACAGTGTACAAAATACTTTTTGAACCAGGTTGCCCATCAGAATTTTAGGTTGCCCGACCAATAAATTAAGTCTACTTTCCTCAAAATAAGTAATGTTACATACATAAGCCTTTGACAATATTTCTAACAGCCTTTAGTTAATAAACTGATACTAGTAATAGCCATTAATACCTAAAATCAAAAAGCATCTGCCAGATACAGTGGTGCAAGCCAAGTGGGCATGATTTTTTTTTGTGGGGGGGGGGAGCGTTCTTAAAATTCAGGTAGCACACTGGGCTACCTAGGTTCAAAAATAGGTTGCCCCAAGTAAAATTTGGTTGCCCGGGGCAACTGGCCATGGGCAACCAGGTATTTTGCACGCTGGGAAACAATATTATTTTTAATGCCAAATTGAAAGCAAATGATGAAAGACACCAGATGTGTCTGAAGTATTATGAGTTTCTAAAATGTATCCAGAAGTATAGATTCCATTAAAACATATTTCCTGGATGTCTACCCTAACAATTCATGGGTTGAAATAAACTTGCACTGGTGCAGATGAAAAAAAATTTACTTGCACCAAAAAAAAAAATTGTTACACCCACCAAAAATAATAGATACACTACCAAAAGTACATTAATACAACTATAATAGTACCCAATATTTGCTTACACTGTTGTGGGGATAAACTACTAACCATGGCAGTGACTTAGATAGTAAACTTCTATTGATTATAAAAATTGAAGAAAAACTCCCTGGATTCTGGTTTTTTTACCCTTTCAGTTTTGTATTGGGTATTTCTATGGGCAGTGAGTCAGTGTAGTAATGGATAAAGCTTACTTGTACCGGTGCACACCGGTAAAAAATTAGTTGCCCGGCACCAATTTTACTGCACCAACTTACACACATTTCGACCCCTACAATTCCTTGATAAGAAGAGGACTCACTCTGCGGCTGACCCTGGTGTTATGGGGGGTTGACCAGACGACCCAGATGCCAGGAGTTTGGATCTCTCGTCAGGCTTGATCCTGGGACGACCCTTCATCTTGAGCGGGCTGGTGGGAGCTTTGGTTCCCGACGCCATGAAGTGAGTAAAGAGTTCAGTCTGCTGCAGCAGGTACTGAAACCTGTGGGAACGGTCTTCAACCTGTAGACATGGGGAGGAGACAGAGTCACAACGCCACCTAGCAGAGTTCAGAACAACCCAGCAGAGTTCAGAACAACACCCTAATGACAATGCAGGGCTCGACATTCATTTTCGGGAATAGGTGCACTGGTGCACCCAACCTAAAAAAATGGGTGCACAAAATTTTTTTGGGGTGCACCATGTAAAACAAAATAATTATCAATCTTACTGCTCCTCTTCTAAGCTTGAATCTGAAATGGGAGCTAACTTTAATAGTTTAAAATCTTACACAAGTACTACAACAAAGATTTTATTATTTTTCCGACCCTTAGATTCCAAGAATATCCTGTATACTATCATACATTAATGATTTAATATGTACAAAAACACCACAGAAAAAAATTGGGTGCACAACTTCAATTTTGGGTGTACTAAGGTGCACATGCACCCAATATTTCCAGCCCTGCAATGACAACCTTTACTTCTTACATGTACACATTGGACAGGTCTGTCATGTTATGACAGTAACTCTTCTCATGCCAAAAAGAAAAAAGTGAGTAAAAGGCCCCCCCTATGCTGTGATTTGGACCCCTACACTGTCTTTCAACCAGTATAAGGGTGTTTCTTTTTGGGGAGAACCTTGTGACACTTTATAAATCTTTCAAAAAGTTAATTATTTGACTTAAAAATAAGAATAAAGCTATAAAAACAGAGGGAAAACATAACAAAATTTGTCCCTCAATAAGCAGGAAATTGTATGTGTATTGAAATTTTTTGGGAAGAATGCTATATTCATGTCTAATGCCAGTAATGGCCATGTCTTTGGGACTTGATGTGTTGCTTGTACTGTGGAAAGTTGTCCTTCTGTACCTGACCCCTATGTTGTGAAAAAATATTGGTAAGAACGCTGGTTTGGTGGTATTGACTTCAGGGTTCTAGCTAGTGCGAAGTAGCGCAGGGGACCCCTACGCTATAATTTTGACCCCCTACACTAAATTCCCCCCTATGCTAATTTTCAATACAGTGTAGGGTTATTGTGACTGTATTTCTGTGTTCAAGAATGCCAGATCAAATGTGAAAAATTACCAATCAAGGATACATTGTACATACCTTAGAAGTAACATTTTTTCCCTTTGGGTACCTATCTTTTTTAGCTCAAAATTTTAAAAGCTCCACATCGCGGAAGGGGGGCACATCCCCCTTCTGCCCCAACCCCCTCTCAGTCACTTCGCTCCCTTGACATGTGGCCGGTGCCACTACGCTAAAATTAAATCCTAGCTAGAACCCTGGACTGGGATGTGAGTCTTACCACTTTGGCTTCATAGTCCTTGTCTTCTTTGGCTTCAGCTCCCTTCCCACGTGGTGGAGACTTCAGCTTGAAGGGCGCTGCACCTGGCGGCTGGTACTGCAAAAATCAAACATTTCAAAAAACCAACCTCAAGAACAGTTATTGTGATTTTTTTCTTTAGGCCAATTTAATTTCTTGGTGAACGGATTCGCCTGCTTAATTTTTTCCTGATTTGCAAATAAAAATTAAAATTCAGAATCAACTGCAAAATGCTCATATTTTGCCCTGAACAGTTGAAAACAGCCCTTTTCATCCTAGTTGTTACAGTTATTCCATCTTTCAATGCAGTGGTATCATTAAAAGTTCAAAATTCATTGTTTAAAGTTTGACTTCATGGCTCCTATCGTACCATTTTGGACCATAAAAGGATGCCTAGGGCCCTGTTTTTATTTTTGCCCGCCCGCTCCCATTATTTTTCTAGAAAAATTCGTTAACCAAGAAATTAAATTGGTGTGGCCTTATTTTTGTTTTATTTATTAGTGTTCACAGTTTCTCAATAACTCTGTATATTCGGATTCTGCTGCATAAACCGTGTTGTCCGCTGGTTTCTCTGGGCTACTCGGGGAACTTGAACAGCTACCAACAGGAGGCTATGTTCTAAATTCAGTCGAGCCGTCATGGCAAAAATATAACAGCCATAAAAATTTACAGTAATTTTTACCGGCCTGTTTTGGCAGATTATTTCTTGATTGAAAAAAAATGTGATTTTTATCATATTTGGCACCTTGTTTGGACGTATAATTTTTGCCAAAATGATGGCTTGTTTTTTTATCATTTTTTACCTACATTTAGTAAAAAAAATTATTTTTTTAGGTCAAATTATACCTTTATGAACACATAATACGTGTAGCATAAATTTGAAATTTTCATGACATATGTGATTTTATCTCAAGAAATGAGTTTTGGGTCAGAGAATTTTGGGAAAAGCTAAAGTGGCACTTGGACAGAAATAATTTATGTATCAATGTTCTCACACAAGGTCGCAGTATTTATGGGCGAACCCCGTAGTCATGATCAAAAGTAGTATGGGCACAAAGTAGGTCGGCATATACTTGAGACAGGCGGGTACTGTGGTACAAGGTAGAGGAATACGTCAGGTTTGAGACTGTAACTAAAAGTTCAATTTTGATGTTCGCTCGGTTAGCCTAGATTTGCGCCTTGATACTGTCACAGCCTAGTGCAGTGCGTTTGCTGCAGTTCCATGACCTTCAGCATAGCTCTTTTTTTAATGATAATGATATGAATCTTTATTGCATGTTCTTGCCCAGATGGGCTAAATGCACAAGAGGACATGCAGTATGCAAAACATGAGTATTGCATACTGGGACGCTATATTCTAATGCTAATTGCTAGGAATTTATACAACAATACTATATACTACCTATCATCTACTGTTAGATGCCCTTTCTTCTCTCTTTTTGAAACATTCAGAAACATAATTACATAGTTTGTCTGCTATACATTCGTTCTTGCATGACATCAAGTGTTTAAACATGTCCTGCTTTGACATTTTCTTGCATATCTTGTCTAAATGTATAATATAAGATTGTGTCATGAGTGAACTAGCCGACAAACTTTAGCCCATTTTCACATGTTTTACATTATACCCTGAACTCAAACATATTCAAGTTTTGTACCTAACATTTGCACCCTACTATATTTTCTACCGCGTCGAAGTAGGTCACGTCAAATGGGGTTCTTAACTATAGAAATCCCCATAGGCGACGGAAACTGTGTCATGCTACCACAACACCCCCCCCCCTACACACACACACAACAAAACCCAACATCCTCTTGAAATGAAAACACAATTTCTCTAAAACCGACACCACTGCGACTAATTTCACATGGTTCACCAATAAACTATAGATCAAATGATCCAAGGAATAACCAGTTTTCAATTTCGGAGACAAACTTTTGGTTCTCGTCTCGATCCGAGGTGGTTTCTTGTGAGATCTTTTGAAGCGCGCCAAATTTCGGATCTTCATTGTTTCCATAAAAGCCTCTTTCGGACGGTTTCAGTTAGAAACAACATCATAAAACCGCTTCTAACACTAACCTCGTCGTCCGCTGGTTCCTCTGGGCTACTCGGGGAACTGGAACTGCTGGACATGTTCACTGTTTTGACCCAAAACTGACAGAAAGAAACTCAAAATTCACAAAGACTGCGTGACCACCGGCTTCTAGTGTGCTGGGTAATGTTGGCCAGCTCTACTCATCTTACAGGGGGCGCAAGGAAATCCTTCTTTATTAATCAATCAAAATAGTGAATATTACAAACATTAACACTGTATATAATGTTGATATATATTGCTTATTCGAAAATAATCACCTATTTGGGCTCTTTTGTGGATAAATTAGCAAGTGTTTTCTTTCTTTCAAAATTTGCACCCCTAGAAGAAATTAAGTAGTACGGTCCAACGATTTGAGATCTCGTATTTTCTCGCGAGGTTCGGTAACGTTTGCAGGACAAAGATTTTGGCGACGCCTTCGGAAGGAGCCTAATGGTACACCATTGTGTGAAGTTTGCAAGAATGTGTTTGCACGATAACTCAAGAAGGTATGAATGAATTTTAAAGAAACTTGGTAGGTCAGTAGGTCTTCATGAGACATTAAAATGAGTAGAGTTTGGGCTCCTTAGCGGCTTGTAATGGTACTGCAGCTGCTTTCCGATTTTTGATATCTCGTGATCTGGACATGCTAAGGTCACGAGCTTTGGATGGTTGATAGCTTGTGTGCTCTGGAAGAAGTGACGTAAGGTCTCGGACCGGAGTTTCCTTCCGTGTTCGGAGCAATTTGACACCCTCAGCCCGACGGGCTGTCATTTCTGTACTAAACGCAGGTCGGAATTTTTCACTCTTTTGGTGTGAAGGGGTCCCGTGCCGCTTATCAATACACTTCATTGATATTTTGTGCGCCCAATTCTTTTAGGGGTAAATAAGGCACATCAAAGTACATTTTTAAATAAGGGGTCATTTTTTTCGTCATTTTAAACCATGGCTGCATGGAAAAAAACGAATTTTCCCAGGGTAACGGCTTAGTACTCGAAGAAGCTCAGAACCTAATGTTTCCAAAATTTGAATTTAATTAAAATCGATGCGATACGTGTACCGCTATCTTCGATGGCCCGAACACACCCACAATGCATATAGAACGTACCATTCCGGCGGTCAGGCGAAAAGGCGACATAACCATTCGCGCGGACTAATACCAGGAAGTCTTCGCTGGACCACATTGTGCCACCTATAAAGGCTACAACTAACAGGCTTTTCAGAAAATACAAATATATGTACACAGATATTACGATTTCAGGGATATCGCGGCCAAAACATACCATACTAAGTCACGTTTCCGGCGATTTACTGCGCACTTACTAAGGCCGTGTCTATACGGAATCACCCAAACCGCGATTCGGGTAACTCACATTCCTCACATCTGGTCCACGTGCCACACACACCTGTGAAACCGTGTCCGAACATAATGCGCTTGAGCTACATTTATTGCTGTTTGATGATAACACGCAAGGCGGCGTGTTATTAATGTCAGAGGTCAACGACCTGCTTGCTGATGCCCCCCTCCCAGCGTATCTCGGCCGAATGCCGACGTGTTCCCGCCAGAGGCGGTGAAGCTCGCCCTAGAACGGACACATTATTTGACCATTACTGCTCTTTAAGTTGCTGCCACGTAAAAGTTGGTATTGCATATAAAAAAAGAAATATCACCCCGCAATCCATGACCAAGTGAAGTCTTATTGAAATCACATTGCGTTCAGACGCAAATCGCGATGCGGGGAAACCGATTCGAAACCACCTCTAGAAGTGGCTTGGGATCGAGGCGCTTTCAATGTGATTTCGGAGCGTTCACATGGAGCCACTTGAAACCGGCTTCGGGGTAAATCACATGTAAACCGCCTTGGGTGATTCCGTATAGACACGGCCTTAAACTCCGACCCGGAACCGTAAGGTTTGGGCCCCCTAGCAGCTTGTTCTGAAACTGAATGGGCATTTTGTTTGAAAAAAAAATATTTCGGGGAGGATAACTTGAGAACCAGTTGATGGATCCTGGTGAATTTTGGTATGTAGGTAGCTTAAGTGATGCTTGACACAATGAAATGACAATTATACAAATTAAAATCTAATTTGCATAACGAATGAGAAAATTCTATAAATCTGCTGTGCTGGAAGATATGACTATTTAAACTTGTGATATGTGTAATTGAGAACGACAAGAATATGTACAGATATCAATTATGTAATCTAGACCTAATTTGGATAATCAATTTCTTTATTGCACTATTTTGAAATGTACATCAGCCGGGGGAGCATAACTACTTAACCCTGAATTGGATACCATTTGTCACATAAAAAAATCGAGGGACAATATATGGACATGTAAAGGTATGTACAAAGACATATACAAAATAATTGAAATATGCACAATGTCCATAATGATTGCATCCAGTCAAGTCAGGTTCAGTGTATATTCAATTAAGACCCAGAAGGTGTTGTGAAGTCTGATGGCGCAATACAGGAAAGACTGCTGCAGTCGTTTGGTTCCTCAGTGCTCTTCCGGTGGCAGACTACCACGGGGCTTCCAACTCGCCGAAATCGGGGGACCGTCCCGCCCGGAGATGTCCGGCCCTGGTGACGTCATCACTAGCAACAGGTGAGAATGTTGGTCGGGCCCGCCACGGCTGCAGGTGGCGCCGGCGGCCCGACTTTATGCGCTTGGCCGACGCACCTGGGCGAGAGGTGTGTCCTAAGCCTATAGGCTCATCGCTCTTGATTTCCTCTCTTTCGTTAAATCAATTTTAATTTCAAAAGTGATCACTGGCGTAATACATTTCCAATGGGGAGAGTCACTTTTGCGTTTTTTTTGTTCCCTTAATACGGGCGCAAATGACCTCATGGCCCGGCGGTTGTCCACCCGACGGGAACCTGGGCCACGGCGCTTCCAACTCGCCGGAATTGGGGGTTTCAAGAGACGAAAATATCTGTCCTTTGGGAACCACTATAGGTCAAAGAAGTCCTAGGAGTAACTTAATTCAACCTCAAATTAGACGATAACGCATAAAATGAAACTAGCTGCACACTGGGTTAAACATCCTGATATTATAGCTTCCAAGCTTGTGATTTGGGAACCCACGATCGACGATAGGTCAACGAAGTCCTAGGAGTAATTCATAACTGACAACCTCTGATCAGATGTAAAATCATGTCTCTCATGGAGGATAGAGTGAAGTAGGATGGTTTTGGTTACTAGAGAATTCTTTCAGCAGTGACAAGTTTTTGAAGGGTAAGAATACTATTAAACCTCCAGATTTTCGATGGTTTTAAGTTTGGTTCCAGCGGGATCTAAATAGGGTATACTCTTATACTAGTACATGTGAGCGATATGTCATTATATCGCTCGGGGAAGCACGGCTGATTTCTCCAATATGTGTATTGGGTAAAGAGCCCCGCACCTCCTCCACCCATCCTGTAGATTTCACCAGTACATGCATGTGTTAGGATCTAGGAACATCTGTTTTTCTTATAACTTGTAATAGAGACTGCTAGCTCCACTGTGTGAAATAATAATTATTCATGACCAGTCGTCGCCTTGGCAATGATTTTTTTATTGTCTGCCTTGTTTCCGCAGTGCAGACAACTGGCGCCATGTCGGGAAGGAAGCAACAGCCCCAGACTGGGAGCACTGGAGGTATCAAGCTTGGTTTTAAGTTAACTTTTATTTGTCCTTTCTTTCCCAAGAATATCTCACCTCCTCCTGTTGAACATCCAAAGACTTGTCGCTAATGTCGACTCCCATAATTACCCTAAGAACGCCACAGTAAAAACCGTGCCGGTGTTGTCGAGGCCATCGAAGCCATCTCAATAATATAGTAAAGACCTGAATAGTAAACACCTGAATGTAGTGTTCATATATGTCTACCTCTGGGATTTTTAATGGTAGATCTCTTCAGATTTACTGTTAATTTTAGATGTGTCTGCCTTTGGATTGACGCCCAGCAGGATTGTAGCTGGTGTGTTACGAAGGGTGGTTATACCGGCTATACTGTGACAGATTATCATCAAATGAGGTAGAATTGACGTCATAGCTATAGCTTAATAACAGAAGTTAATGATAATTGTGAGGTTTAAGTCGCAAGCCGAAAATTTGCTCACAACTAAACAGTATTGATATATATATATATAGTAGAAATACGACTGAATATAATTTGGAACTGCTCCCAAGTATGCTTGCATCGGTTCATCACATATTGAATAATACGCAGTTCATAATCATAAGCTATACACAATTTAGATTCTTGATCATATAGCTATATATGTGTTTGGGGCTGCATTGCATTGGTGCTAAGCTGTAGAATCTAACACTTTTCACCCAAAATTGAAATACTTTTATATTAAAAAATCTTCTTGTGATTGTAATTTATTTCCACGTTTCAACATATTTGTTAAAATATTTTTCACATTTCTGACATTAACGGTTGGCCCTAGCTAGTCTGTTTAACGCAAACTCTGCCGTCGGCGGCTTTGGTGGCCCGTCCCGGCTGGATGTTGGGCGGCCGGCAACCGTAAAGCGATTTAATCAGGCTAGGTTGGCCCTACGTATATACATGTACCCACACACGAGGCGCACTCAGTTTGTGGACAGAGAATGTAAACAATCATGGCTGACAGCTGTGTTTCGAACTTTTAAACACACTCATAGGTTTTAGCGCCTTCACTTCCTAAGCACAATGGCTTACGTTGTAAAGAAATGACCAGAAAATTGACTATTTACATAATACATGTACAGCTTTAAAGGCATCTCAGTGCAGTTTTTAGGGCTTGGAAACCCGATTTTCCAACCCAATATTCTATCCATTTATCCACATACTGAGTTGAAACCACACTGTCCCAATGTATATTGACCTTCAAGGCTCTAGGCAAAAAAATTCTGACGGAAAATGGTCACTGGAAGGGCCCTTGGCTGATTTTTAGGGTACCACCCAAAAATAAAGGACTTATCTCGGGGCTTGTTTCTGCAGTTTTAGAACCCAAAGTATGAAATACTGCCTTAATGTACTAATGTGAAGCAGTATGTGTCAATATCACAAAGATTGCCTTATTCAGAATATTTGCAGTTTTGCTGCCCTGAAATCGCATTGGATGCCATTAAAGATATCAGAATACTTCAAATTTGATGTTGCGATTTCCCGCAGGCACCACACCCATGAAGCCGAGGCAGACTAACTGGCAGGCGCTTGCTGACAAGACTGCGAACCGTGGGCATCTTAAAAATACTAGTTAGAATTACTTTTGGTCATTGAAATTTTTCATATAAGTACCTTATTGCAAGACAATAATTTATGCAAATTTTTATGACGTCACGATGACGTAATCTGGAGTTATGAGCCACGCCCCCTTTTTAGAAAAATCAATTTTCCTGGCCAGTGCTTTGGTTTTCATTGACCATATTTTGTAGAGAGGCGCACTATAGTGATAGCAAAAAACGTACGTCAGGATTTTTTTCTATCTTCAAATGTTGATTTTTAATGAATTTTTTTCGTAAATTTTAACAGTGCCATACGCCAGCGGCCCTCCCCAGCACATAAAACGGCGCAGCGTGTCGGCCTGACGTACGTTTTTAGTTTAGAAGCTTATGTTTAAAATAAAACAATTTTTGGTCCCTTTTCATTAGCAGTTTTGCCACAGTTTTGATCTAAAAATGCTGTATATGCTGTATGGGTTACATAAATGTCCATTTTGGAGCCAAAAAGAGCCGAAATCGCCAGGTTCTGGTCCGCATTCCAAAGGCCCCGATGACTTCCGGTAAAATGCGGGTCATTGACCCTTCAGCACGCTGTATTTACCATTCTGAGCCGCGATTTAGAAAAACAGGCCAGGGATATGTCCAGTAAAAAGAACAGCCCAAGCATCCCCATTCTTAAAGCGTGGGGGAGTCACGTGACCAAACCAAAATGGCGGACGACGACTTGGATGCCGCGAAGGACGCTGTGCGGTTTGCGGCAACATTTGGGCCGCTAGACAATCTTTTAAACGGCTATACCCTACGTAGTTTTGCAGGTGGACTTTCATGGACTATTCTGAGACCTTTCTGGAGAAAAACCGTCCGCGTTTTCTGGAGTTACGGACTTGTTTTTGATGCCTACCCCCGAAGTTCTTTGTTGTGTTACGGAAAGCAACATACTCGGAAAAAAGACTGAAAACATGGAGTTACCGGAGTAGATAGCCCTGGAGAAAAGCCTGCCCGTACGTGGTATGAGATTACTAGCGAATATAATTTTGTTGATTATGTGAATTTCTGTTGAACGTTGTCCTAGTAGACGTGTGCTTACAGTATATGATTTTTTTTACGTACGGAGTTTTATCTGCAAAATATGGACGATCCGTTATAAGCTGCCACCGCTGTAAACCGTAAAGATATGTTCGTCGTTACAGTAAGATTGTGTATGCATTCCGCTCTAAGATAGCTTGAAGTTTGTTTGTATTGTATTTCTTTAAAATAAAAAAAGAACGTTGCAGATTGGAAATCAGTTCTTGTGTCATGTTTGTTCAAGTACTAGTATCTTCTTCCTACAACTGCATATAACAGTTACTACCGGTAGTATATTTACAAACATTTTGCAGTCGAAACAAACTCAAACGTTCCTTTTGGCAGTCAAATGTTTTTTCATAGGAAGTTGTTGGCGTAATCCATGCCTTTTTCTTGGTGATTTCTGTGGTATATTTCCAGTTGAATATGTGTTCCGACTTGATTAGCCGGCATGGCAGGTTTTCGTAAATTCTTTGCAGTTGGCAGATTTTGGTTACTTAGCGGTCTACAAATAACATGATGTACTGTATTTACAAACGCTCTAAGTATCAGGAAAATTGTCTTTTCCTTTCCCAATGGCAAAGTGAAGCTCACACACACTGTGACAGTTCACATTCCTTGCTTCAAGTGGCCCAGCGGAATCGTGCTTTCGCTTCAGTGGGGCCGGGGGGTGTGCACATTATTTGGAAGAGCACTCCATATTTGGAAGAGCACTCCATATATGGGAGCCCGGATGGTAGATGGCGCGTAAAAATTGCGAACTTTGTCGTTCAATTTCGCGGTCAAAATGTGGCCCTGGCAAAAAATATGTTGTAGATTATAAAAATAGACCAAAAAGTCTACCATGTCAGATAGAGTTTTTTTCTATATTAGTATTTCCAAAAAGTCCTCAGGCACCCTTCAATATGACCTTAAAGGTTCCTTATATTCCTTATTTTGATCTGCCATAGTAATATAATAATAAGTAAAAATTCTATTGGCAATATTAGAAAAAATAATTCCTTCTGTATTCTAATGTTCATAACACCATTTGACAGCCCTTTTATTAACAGATTGGGAAAATATGAATGACACCTTCATTTGTATATTTCTAAAATCTGCCCAAAATATATGGCCTTTGGTATGTCAGGTTTGCTTACATGTATGTAACATCGATGTTAACATGTGCGTAAAATCCTTTGGAGGGCGGGGCTGCTCTAGCCTGAGTGTCAGCCTTGTTAGCTTTCGTCCGCTACCGGGGAGCGGACCTTGGGTAGCGGACGAAAGCTAACAAGGCTGACACTCAGGCTAGGGCTGCTCCAAATCCACATATACAAATATAACTACAGTAATATGATAAAGTTTAAAATTCACTCCAGATGTGGAGGACACCCCCTCTCCCCCGGAATGACACTGTACGCAATGAAGAGTGGCAGAGTTTGGGCACCAGAGATGACTTGAGAAAAGGTTGGAAAAGGTTGTTAGCTAATGTATACTAAAGTTTTTATTACGCGGTCATTTGAGGCCGGTTGAGGTCGGTTGGAGGTATTAGAAACCGCCCCTCCCCCTTCTGTGATTGGTACTTCCCGGGTCCGTAAAGCCACGCCTACAGCTTTCCATATATGGTTCAGTAGCACGTGACACCGTCAGAATAGCCCGGATTCGAAAGTAACTGAGTGACCAGGCCTGGCGACTTCTGTGCGACAAATGCTGCGTCAACAGCATTTTCAGGGTTAAAGTACAGTCTTTTACAGTCCGGGCCTCCAAAGAGGTTGGGACCCCGATTTCTTGAGAACTTAGACGTCCATCTTCAATGTACACGAGGTATGTCAACGTCCATGATCTAGCGCTAACTAGGGTGGCAAGTAGGAGGAGACAACTACGTACCAAACACGACGTGACGACAGAGTATCATGTTAGGCTAAATGGCTACTGTACCTTTGGTTCTGTTTGTTTTGTGCAGGTACCTGAAAAGAAGCGCGTCTGTACGCCAGACGCCCTTTTGTGTATGATGTTTGTCAAAAGACTGTCAGGTACAGTACATTCGCCAAGAAGGTTGTGCATGTAAACATTATGTGTCTGTCTCGGCTGTCTCTAGCCTCTAGGCACATGCTTTTCAGTCTATCGTAGACGTCGCCGCCCAGTTCGGAACCAGGCTCGCCGTGCAAAACTCCTGGCGTCAGGCCCGAATATTACCACGATGGATCGTGAAGGCTACGTAAACTCGAGAATTACGAATTACAATGTACTTAACCAAGGAGCTGTCCTTGACTTAACCAAAGGGATTCTCTCAAAGTTGTTGCACAAGTCGACAGAACAAATACGTGTGCGAGTTGCGCAGCTAGCATTACTGAATTTACATGATATGTAAAGCTACTAAAGGTGACGATCAGCTTTGGCAGAATGTACATTGTCAACTGAATTCGGGAAAATTTGTCAACACTCCTTGATATCACGGACAAAACTTGTGGGAGATGAACATACATACGTAACAAAGAGAGCATGATTAGGTATGTACAATATACCTGTAACAAAATACCTTAATTATTGGTAGGATTACCAGCAATCTGTACTTAATTTTCTAGGCTTCAAAGAATTGATACCCAGAGACACGAATCCACACCTGCTATATATGTAGCTGTTACAAGCCAAAGTGGTGACTGAAGTAAACTTTTTGACGGCATTATATACAGGCAAAGATGTAGGGCTCAAAATACCCATGTGCAATGTGGAAAATGCACATGATTTTCAAGATTTGTACATAAAAATATTTTGAATGTGCAATTTTGCACCTAGAGCAGGAGGGGGAGGGGGCGCGTTGCAGGCAAAGTAGCAAAAATTATCCATTTCTATAAGTAAGTTACATATTACTACTTAACAGTCAAACCTCACGGTCCAAGCCGGCCACCCAGGGGACCAACACCCCGTTCACAGTGAAATTTGTCGATCCGGATCGGCCGCCGATCGGGATCAAAATTATGCAAATGAAGTCAATCCGGATCGGTTTTCGCAGTGTGGACGCTCCAATCGGGATTGATTTTCTCCGATCCCGATCCAAAAGTAATCCACCTCGAGGAGGTAGTTCAAGACACTTGCGGCGGATCGGGATCGGGCGTAAACGCGAGTGTGAACGCAAAGTGGATTGGGTTCGGGGTTCGCTAGTGTGAGACTGACCACAAATACTACCACTACCGATCGGGTCTTGTAATATGCAGTGACAGGGACGTTGTGTAATGCTATGGATACATTGCCAATCAAAATTATGAATAGAAAATATGCAGAAAGATGTTTACCCCAACCTCCATGCCCCAACGTTACACTCAAGTGGAATGGCGAGCCAGTGGAATCGAGTGTTACAACCCGAAAAATATCGGCCTTCACGCAACGGGAGCTAAACCCTGACCACCCAAACATGTTCAAGGAGGTGTTCTCTTTATTTCCGCTAAGATTCCAGGCTGTACAAACTTTCTGAGTTCTTTTCTTGCAAAATTTACGGCGGAGTTACAGCGGCTATGGCATGTTCAAGATGGCGGGCTCGTGACACCTCAATCCATTTCTGAGCGTGATGCCCTGGCAATCCGGATCAGCAAAAAGCAGTGTGAACGCGCGGGTCGATCGGGATTAATGAATTTCTGATCGGGATCGGCAGTCAATCCAGATCCATTTTTTCACTGTGAACGGGGTGCAAATAAAAGTGGCCATCTTGGACAGGTGGTCTCCTTCAAGCGGGTCGTCTCACAACATGACTGAGACATAAATGGTTTCAAGATTTTCTAATGTCAAATGCTGTAAATGCATGTGGGGAGGGTGGCACATGAAACAATTAACTTCAAACAAAAACATCATCCAGCAGTCAAGGCAAACTCAGACTGGTTTCTCCATGATTTGTCATTTAAGTTATCATCAATAATCAACATGATTGAAACTGATGTGGTCACCATGGGCAGGTATCAGGCCTTGAGTGGACACAACTCAGGGTGGTCACGGTCGTGTTGGCCAGGTGGTCACCTTGGACAGGTTGCTTAATGCTTGTTTTTTTGCTTGAAAGTTGAAACATCATGGAAAGTAGTTAATAACAAACTAGGAAGGTCAGTTTAATTTATTGTGGGCTTACATAATTAATTTGCAGGATCCTTCCACTGAGTCACCTGGTAAAGAAACATGTAACGTTATACCTCTTTCAAACCAGCTTGAAAACAGTTGCAGACCAAGTAAATACTAAGTATAATTTTGCACATAAATGTTTCAAATTGAACCTAACATTTTTTCCAATGTGCGAAAATTGTGCCACATACTTGAAAAACGTATATACATATATAAATATAAATTTTAACGTATATACATATATACAGTTACAGTATAAACAGTTATAATTTATAATACATTTAATTATGGGTTCACCACACCACGAAGTGGGTGTGGTGAAACCATATTGCTTTTTCTGATGTTTCTTCTCCTTCTCCTTCTTCTCCTGCCATTTTTTTAAATGGATTCAGCTTCTTCATTTTAGGGCCTAAGGTCCTGAAATTTGGTATGGAGGTACAGTGGGCAAATACCCCCAGGCGTTTTTTAAATTTTTGTGATACAGGCTTTTAGAATGGTTTTATTACTCCGTGAAGGAGGTCAGGACCTCCGGACGGAGTGTTGTAATCGGCTGATTTTTCATGTTCGCAGTCAAAACACTGGGTTCTCTTTGTGTAATCGGCACGCAATTTTATACGCCGTCTGCGGGCATGCCCGTGTTGATGCACGAATGTGTATTTTTGCCGTTGCTGCTTTCGCGGTCAATGTAATATCGCAGACGCACCCCTACAATTACGAGAATTGGAATGGTCCAGAAAAACGCGTTGTTTGGAATAGCAGTGGGGTTCAAAAAAGTTCATGCAGATACGGGGTGGTTTTTATAAGTGGTTCCAGATGTTTTTGCCCATGGTTAAGAGATGCCAAGTTTTTTGGAAGATGTTCGCAGCCAAAACGCATTCTTCCGTACGTCGCATTTCTGTGTAATTTCGCATGTGGTGTTGCATTATGTCCGGGATGATGCACGTCTTTTTATTTTTACCGTAGCTGTTTTGATATTGGAGTAAATGCTTATTTTCGAAACATCCCCATTTCTTTGAAATGGTTTCGTCCGTTTATGCAACTGTTACTGCGCTAATGACGACCAGTCGCGCTGTCCTGATACACCGCGAATGTGCGAGTGTTCCCTGTAGACAGTCCCGGGAGTCATTTTTTTGCACATTCCAGGAGCCAAACCAAAATACGTTCATGAACCGAGTCC